GACTTCATAAGGACTCATGATTTAAGTTAAATCACGTCTGTAGAGTGCTTGGGTGGGTGGGGGAATGTGTCAACATCATCAAATTATTGGAATTGATATCCCTATGGCTCCAGGAATATTCTACTAAAATTTGTGCCTCCTGCATACTTTTTTTTTTGGAGTGGTGTCAAATCTTATTCAGTGACTCCATCTTATCACAAATTCCTAGTTAATAAAGAAGTAATCACTACAAAAAAAAAAAAGTTCAAAGGCAGACATCATTGCTGGGAACTAGGATTTAAAGCACAGGCAGATGGAGCCATCTGGCTTGCAGCTTGGTAACCACATGCTTGGAAGGTTAAAAAATCCATATTTAATAACCACGGTGATTCAGATGTTTTTACAGAAACAAGCCGGCGGTATGCTCTACTTAAGGTTAGATTTTGAGAGCGTTGGCTTTTGAATGTCTTCAATCTCATTACCATCTTATTTACATGCTGACAGATCCTTATTAGATCAGAGACACAACTAAAAAGAAGTCCAGGAGCCAGAAATGATAAGGAAATGGAGGAAGGAATAAAAAAATTAAGTAAATAATAAATAAAGATGGAATAAATAATAAATGTGTTGTGAAGCTAAAATTGTAAGTGGCCAAATCTGGCTTTCTCTAACTGTGGTGGTTTGAATGAGAATGTCCTCCCCTGGGCTGATGCATTAGAATGCTTGGCTTCTCCTTGGTGGAACTGTTTAAGGAGGATTAGAAGGTATAGCCTTGTTGGGGGAGGTGTGTCACAAGGCTGACTTTGAGGCTTCAAAAGGTTCCTACTATCCCTAGTATGCTTTCTGCCTCCTACTTGTGGATTGAGATGTAAGCTCTTGGCTGCTGCTCCGACTGCCTGCCACCAGGCCTTTGCTCTAACATGACAGACTTTTAATTATCTGAAATCTTAAACCCAATTAGACTCGTTATTTTATAAGTTGCCTTGGTCAGGGTGTTTTATCACAACAATAGAAAAATAACAATATACTAAATATTAAACATCCCCCTTTACCTTTACCCACAAATATACCACGATAGTACTGTGGAACAATCCTTTTCATATACTGTGAAGATTTGCCACTCAGATTGGTTTAGTAAAAAGTTGACTGGCTTGTAGCCAGATGGGAAGTATAGGTAGCACTGCCAGATGTAGAGGAGGCTGGGAAGAAAGGTGGATGTTGCTGGAGTTCTCTTGTCCCTCCAGGTCCCGCTGCCCTTCTCAGCCCCAAATCAACCCACAGAGATGCTACATTAATTACTAAACTGTTGCCCTATGGCTAAGGCTTCTTATTGGCTAGCTCTCTCTTAATTATTAACCCATTTCTAATAATCTGGGTAATTCCATGAGGTCTTGGCTTACTGGAGAGTATCCGGACCTGTTACTCCTTTAGTGGCTACATGGCTGAGACACTTAGGAGGTAGGGTGTGCTGTCGCCTGCTCCTTCTCTCTGATTTCTCCGCATTTCCCTCTATATCTGACTCAGACCTTTTATTATCTTGACCAATCAAGAACTCCTTTTACAGGTGGAGTCAGAGGAGTTGCCAGCCAGATGCAGAGGGAGCAAGACATGCTGGAGGACAGGTAAAGCCATGAGCCATGTGGCAGCATATAGATTAATAGAAATGGGTTAGTTAAGTTGTAAGAGTTAATTAGCAATAAGCCTGAGCTATCAGCTGAACATTTATAATTAGTATTAATTCTCTTGTGGATATTTGGGAGCAATAGCTAGGACACAGGAAAACTCCCCCTATACAATGGGCCTATACTTTTTATTTGGTCAGTACCAGGAGTTAAACACTCTACTATTGAACTACATCTCCAGCTAATGCCTGCATATTTACTTGTCAGTCTTCAATTAGAGGTCAAAAAATATGATGAATGAAGAGGTGGAAGAAGACAAGATCATTCTAGCAATCATTTGAAATTGTTATTTGAGTACAGGACAGTCAGTCAGCAAGGGACTCTCAGAATCTACAAGACAATGCTATGGAACTTTGCATTTAGAGCCTTTGACATAGTCCTCAGGGGGTAGTATACCATTCTGAGGCTCTTGCTAGAAACCTGTTCCATGACACCTTAAATAAATCTTGGTATAGTACCTTTGGCATATCACACAAGTCAATATGTTGTTAGTTTACTGTAAACATAAATGCATCCTGTTTTTCTGTTTGTTTAAGATAGCATTTCTCTGTGCAGCCCTGGCTGTCCAGTAACTCACTTTGTAGATCATGCTGGTCTTGACCTCAGAGATCTGCCTGCCTCTACTGGGATTAAAGGCATATGCCACCGTACCTGGCTTAAAGCATGCTTCTTAACAGGGACCAAAATAACAACTTAGGAACACATTATGTCCCTTTAGTACTTTGAGACAAGGTCTTCCTATATATCCCAGGCTAGATTTGAAATTACAGCTGTCCTCCTGCCTCTGCTTCCTGAGTGATAGAATTAAAGGCTCACCACACTACATATTAATTTGGAGATATTTTTGATTGTTATAATTGGGAGAGGGGATGCTACTGGAAGCATCTCACAATGCATAGGACAGCCCTACTATGACTTGCTCTAGATGTCAGTAGTGCTGAGTTTGAGAAATCCTGGTGCCAGTAACAGAAGAATCTAGACTTTCAATATAATAGGAGAGCAGAATCTTCCATAAGTTTAGAATTTTATCATGGTGTCTTAGGGTTTTATTGCAACTAACTGTTGCCCACATCAATAAATAATCAGGACAATTTCCCACAGACATAGCCATCGGCTAATCAAATCTGGACTCTTCCCTCTTCCCTCTTCCCAGGTCACTTTTGGTTGTGTAAAGTTAATTACAGCTAACTAAAAGAGCATGATAGGAAGCAGGATTGGAGGCAGGGTGATGGGATTCAGCCAGTCCCAGGATCATACTCCGATTAGACCTTCCCCACCAAGTAACTCACCTCCTCCATCTATTTACCACCTCCCAGAGTTTCCAGAAACTTCCAAAATGGTACCACCAACTGGGAACCAAGCACTTAAATCATGAGCCAGTTTGGGGACGTTTCAGGATCAAACTACAACAGAAGGACACTATACACAATCAATATCTGTGGCTTGATATCATGGTACCCAAAGCAGGTGTCAGGAGAGACTCTGGTTAGAGCAATCCAAGGTCAGCCTAAGCCCTCATACCTTGAGTAGAGGTTACAGGTCACCAGAGAAACCAAGACTCTTCATTTGGACCTTATTCATTTTCTCTTCACAACAAGGGGACTTGTTGATCTCCCTTCCTATTCATATCAGAAGTGTCAGTAGGCTAATGTGAGAGATGATGAGGTAAGCAGAGGTGCAGTAGATTAGCAATAGCAGATACATAATCACAGACATTTGAAAAAAGTCTCGTAGGAATCAAATGGGAGAGTAATACTGTTACAACTAAGTGGCTGGGAGGAGGAGATGGCTCAGTGGTTAAAGCCCTTGCCATGAGAACAGGGGAACCAAGTTGGATTTTCAGAAACCATGGAAATTCAGGGTAGGTGTGGCACCTTTCTGTAATTCCAGTGCTGAGACAGGGATCCCTGGAGCAAGTTGTCTGGCAGACAACAGAGACCTTGCCTTAATGAATAAGCAGTTGAAGAATTCAGTCTTCTTATCAACCTCAGACCTCCTCAAGCATGTGTACATGTATGTCCACATACACATGCACACTACACACACATACACACCCTAAATGTTGTTTTCAGTAAGTTAACTTTTCACTGCATTGTGTTCAGGGAAGTGTGTCTGCCTCTAAGGAGTATGGAGAGGGAGGAGCTATCCCACAGCAATGATCATTTTCAGGACTCTTAAGACCAAAGCAACACTGTCAGTATCCTTAACTTACCCATAAAATATTCAGTCTTTTGATAGAGGCATGTGTTATCTCGGTCCTGGGCCAGAAGTCTACTCTGTCACACCGGGTTGGGAAACAAGGTACCAGAAGGGCATGTTTTGGAAACTTCTTTCAGCAAGGCCAAGCTGAAGGGTAGGCTTTGGGTTGTGGATATAAGACATTTAGACAGGATTTCTGTCAAGTTTTTTAAGAGACTACTTTGTGAGTTTGTAATTAGGTGATGGCTATGAACAAGAGAACCACACCATGGAAAATCTAGAGGAATGAGAATTTGTACTTTTTGTATCTTTGGAAATATTATTTCAATTTATAGTCTAGGCTGCCCTCAACTTTGTGTAATACTTCCTTTTGTTTTAGCCTCCCAAATTCTGGGATTATGAGCATGAGCCACTGCACCTGTCTAGACCTTGTATTTTTAAGTTCTCTACAGTATAGTTTTTAAAATGTCGTGTTTACATGCACAATGAAGCTTGTGAATGGAAAAACCCTGATAGTATCAAGTTGGGACATTTACTTTCACAGGTGTGTCCATCCCGAGGCTCGTGGCAGCATGTGGCCCAAGATGATACTAAATATGGACCAATACAAAAATCGTAAACTTCAAAAATTGTGAGATTTTTTTTTTCCTTTTTCGAATTTGAGCGGTTCTCCAGCGTAAATTTCGTATATGACAAAGTCACAGCATTAAGTCTCCAAGCTGGTTGAGCGTGCAGGCGGCAAGCGAAGAGTGGAGTCCAGGACAACCTCATCAGAACCCTTTCTTTTTATTTTGCTGTACTTTGTAGTCTTGTTGAGCCTGAACTACATTTCCCAGTATCCCCCATAGCTGGAACTCATTCAAGATTGGGTAAAACAATAAGGAAGTGATTTCGGGTCGCCCAGCAACGGGCGGAATCCGGCACCGTGACTGGGCGAGCACACCCCTTCCAGGAGAGTGGAAGAAGCTAATTCCAGTTTCTGAGCCGTTCCTGTCTTTCCTTCCAGCCGCAGGACCCTTTGGTCTCTTCTGCGCTTCCAACACCTCTTTCCTCGGGCTCCGCCCCCTTTCCCGCCAGTCGCTGTGAAAACAGGAAACTGGATTACAGCTGCGGATTGGCTAGGCGAGCAGTGCGCAGGCGCGAGCGGTGCAGGGAGCTGGGGGAGCCTGACGCGCGCGGCGCGGTTGAAGGCTGAGTGAGTTGCTGAGGTGACCGGGTGACTACTTCTATCTCCACCATGGCAGCTCTCCGCTACGCGGGCCTGGACGACACGGACAGCGAGGATGAGCTGCCTCCGGGCTGGGAGGAGAGAACCACCAAGGACGGCTGGGTGTACTACGCCAAGTAAGCGGCCTGGAGCGGCGCTCGCGAGGCCAGTGTCCTGCGAGGCCTGGACCTGTGCTGCCCAGTCCGGCGGGCACGTGCATCCAGATTGACAGCCACCTGTCCCAGGTTCCCCACCCTCATGGGCTCTGGGTCAGGACCAGGTCACCTGGCCGCCTGCAGCACGCCCCCTGCTGCTCACTAGGTGCCACTGCACTGTGCGTTGATGGCTCCTGGGTCTTAGCTCTCCTAAGGAGGAAATAGAGCAAACTTCAGTGCCCAGTTCCCGCCAAGGGGACCTGGGTTGGAGACCCAACAGTCTGTATTTCTAAACAGAGGTCCTGGATGGCTCACAGTGGTTTCCCAGGGAAGTTTTGGAAACCGCAGCAGAGCCTTTCTCCATTACTAACTAGCTATGACCTTAGGCCACTAAAAGCCATGACTGATAATCTTTTCCCCCCCATCAGTAAATGAGTTGACACAAGAATGAGACCAGTGCTGTGCATAAGGCACTCAGTGGAGAGGCTGGTGGGTTGTAGATCTCCCACCGAGCCCGCGTAAGTTGGACTGTACCTGTGGCAAGAGTTGCTTAGGCCTGATGTTGGAATTACCTGTGTGGTTCCTCCCTCCTCCTACTCACCTCTCTTTTTCTGAGACAGGAACTCTCAATGTAAACCTGGTTGGCCTGCAACTAGCTTGATAGACCAGGATGGCCTCGATCTTTCACAGATCCACCTGTCTTTACAGGGTCTCACTGTGCATGTAGACCTGGGTGACCTGGATTCTCCACCCCCTAGCAACTGGGTAGTGTCTTACACGCAGACACTGAGTTTCTATAGAGAACTACTGCAGCTGACTCTAATGTTGGGGAAATCTGCTCATCATTAACAAATATGTATTTAATGTACAAAATGATGGGTTTTGATACAGTTAGGGGTCTTGATTGGATTCGTTTTCTTTGCCAGTTAAAGAATTGAAAAGCAGGAAAAAGCCAACACAACAGGTAGTAATGGAGAAATCTCCAATACCTCAAACAGCAGCAGATAGAATCAACAGTTGAAAGGCATCTATTGTGGGGTGAGGGGGGGACACATTCATACAGCAGTCACACATAGAGAAACTGACCCTCTGCAAAGCAGATGGTGGGTGTGGGTGGGTGGGGTTCTGGAAGTCAAAATACAGCTACTTTTTGAGGGCTCTCTGTCTCTGTCTCTCTGTCTCTGTCTCTCTGCCTCTCTCTCTCTCTCTCTCTCTCTCTCACACACACACACACACACACACACACACACACACACACACACACCCCTTTGAAGTGTTTCCTTTCCCTAGTATGAGTTGGTCAGTTTGAAGAAAGATAAGATGGTTGATTGGCCCACAACTGTTGGGTAACATGCCCTGATTTGGACTTGAACTTGTTGAGCAGGGGCCTGCTGGCAGAAGGAAAAAGCACACAAGGCCTTTGTTTTAAGAGGTCAGGCGTTTGTCTCATGTAAGGATGGTGAGGAAGAAGCTGGCATTGGAAGTCCACATCTTTGTTACCTAGGCCCCTCTCCCTATCTGTCAGCCTGCCAAGGAGACAGCCTACCTCCTAGTCCCCAAGTTTTATGATGTCCTTTTTCATATGTATGTTGTGTTCTTTCATAGTATTCAGCGTCCTATTACTTTTTTCTTGTCCCAACCCCCCGATTTTCTTCCTCTTCTCAAATACTTCCCCCTCTACTTTCTTATGTGTTTGTAAAATATATTTTAAACATGGCCTCATGTAGTCCAGGCTGGCTTTAACTTGATAAGTGGCTGAGGTTGAGCTCCTGGTTCTCCTGTCTCTACTTCCTGAGGTCAGAAAGTGTACATGAACACATCTAGCTTTATGTTTTTAAAATCTAGGAGAATCAGTCTTTTCACATGAGTATATTATCACTTGGCTTTCGGGAAACAAATGATTGTAACAACACCTGTAATTTGTATTTTTAGTTTTTAGTATCGGACTTTAAACTCACAGAAATTCTCTATCCCCTGCAATTAGTGGTGTGCTATAGTTTTGTTTGTCCACCAATGTTCCGTAGCTCACACTTGCCTAGAGTTCTTTATGTAGTCAGGGATGACATTAAATTCCTGATCCTCTTGCCTCCTGAATACCTTCCAGATAAGAAATCACATGTTTGCACCAGCCTACCTGTTTCCTGGCTTATTATCAAATTAGGGCTTAGTATGTGCCCTACAGTCTCTCCATTGATAGGTTATAAACTTCCCATGTGCTTCACTGAGGACCTGAGACTCTGTTGTCAGACTCTGGAGCTAACCCACTGCTGATCTGGGGCCGGGAGTGACACTGAGTTTGTGTCTTTAGAAGGAAGGAGTGGCTCTGGAGAAGTAGATTGTATGAGCAGGAGGTTCAGCATTTACAGGTACGGGCATATCAGTGATCCAACATTTGCTGCTCCTACCTGAACCTGTGAGTTTTAGAAACCTTACTAGTCCATGCTGTACCAACCACCTACACTTCTCACTGTTTTTTGGTTCTTGGCATCTCAAATAGGCATCTTGTCAGTTGGTGATAAAATAATACAATTATTCTCTTGTTGAGAGTTGATTTAAGGAAAGGAAACTTAACCTTTGAATGCCTTTTTCAGTGTTTCCCTGATGATAGGATCCTTGCCAAATGTGATAGGTGTTTCTATCTAGCTTTTGATCTATGTTCTATATGAGAATGATCTATTGTAGCTAGAATTTCAATTTTAAATGAATTTATTAAATTTGAATTGAACAAACATAAAAGAACAAATACCAGGTAGCAGGTAACTAGAAGCCACAGATAGCAAAATTCTATCTGGTGGAATACTCACAGGGCCCATCAGAAACAGACTGGAGAAGCCCTACTGAGAGAGAAGTAAAGTCACAGCTTTAAGTCAGATGTGTACAACATCAGCAGACAGCTGGAGCCTTGTGTGCTGGCATTCCTATCTCCCAGTACATGCTTTCCATGGACAAGCTTCCCCTTATCACAGACATTTTTATATTATAGGGTAAATAGTAGCTGAGGGAAGACACTTAGGAATTGTCTAGCTGTGTTCAAGGACATGGTGTTTTTTAAATACCCTTAACTGCCTGCTGTTTCCTTTCTTCCTGTCACAAACTAGGGAGCCTATCAGTCTCTTGTGGGCTTTTGAAGGACACTTGAAATAAACATTGCTAGAGCCTGGGGTAAGGGAAGACTCCTTGATACAGAGTCTGTTTACAGTGAGCTTGGACAGCACATGACAGTTTACCAATAGAACGTATTGTAGCTCACCATTTTATTATAAGGATTCTCTGTGGGACCATTTGAAGTGTCCTCATAGCAGCCCCATTCTGCAGATGACAGGAAATGATGGCTGAGAGGCGGAGTGAGTGGACTAGTAGTGTGTAGGGGCTGTCTTGTTAGATCTAATGTTCATAGATCAATGGTCATCTTGTCATAACCAGATGACCTGTACTGCTGCTGTCTTACTGTGTTCTTAATGTCCTTTTGGGTGTGCTCAGGACCTAGTGATTAATGAGATAACTGAAGTTACACCTGTGGTCAGAATCTGCATTTAAAACTGTGTGTGTGTGTGTGTGTGTGTGTGTGTGTGTGTAAGTGTAAGGGTATATGTGTGCCGTGGCATGCTGGTGGAGGTCAGAGGATAACTCAGGAGCTTGTTCTCTATGTCCACCATTGAACCCAGGCAGCAAATTTGTGTCAGGATTGCATGGGAAGCACTTACACCCTTGAGCCATTTTGCCAGCCCGGAATGTACATTTTTTAAAGTCACTTCTGTAATTTTTGTATTTAGGAAGTAGAGACAGTAGAATTAAATGTTTAATATCATCCATAGCTACATAGTGAGTTCAGGCCAGCTCAGGCTGCACAAACAACAAACCAACAAAGCAAAAAGAACAAGGAAGCTAAAGATTTGAAAAGATTAACATTAACAATGCTGTATTTAAGCTACATTTAATAGTTAAATGTGAACATTAAGACACATTAGACACTGAAGTTTGTCAGTATACCCTTAAATAAAGGGAAAGGAAGTACAAAATGTCTTTCTAGAACCTCGTGATCCACAGAGCTTTCTGAAGCTGACTTATAGCTGGGACCCAGTCTTCTTGCCCTCCCACCACTCTGTCGACCTGGCCTGGGAAATCCTTTCAGCATTCACTCCAGCCTGGAACCTGGGCCTCTGAACTGATGCAGCCCAGAAAATATCAGCTCTAAGTATTTCTTTCTGTGCCTGTTCTTATTACCCCAGCTCCATCTGGGAGAGACACAATTTAATACAGCGATTACTCATTAGCCATGTTAACTTATTTTGTTGTGGGTCTCTGTTACAGCCACACCGAGGAAAAGACCCAGTGGGAACATCCGAAAACCGGCAAAAGAAAAAGAGTTGCAGGAGGTCTGTATGTCAGAAGCATAGAATCCTAAGTCTGAAACATTGATTGTCTAAGGAAGATGCCCCAGTGGTGAGGTAGTAGTTGACCCTGTCATTCTGGGAAGGCTATCTGGTGGGTGACCAGCAAGGAACAAGACTCTCCATCATTCGAGAGTTTAATGGGATGTGGCAGAAGAAGAGATAAGATCTGAAGATGGATGGGAGGATGCCTTATGGCCTTAAACAAGAAATGATGGAAACATTTGGGGCCTTAGACTAGTTGAGTTTCTCTGTAGGTGCACAATGTAGGAAATTGCTCTTGGTGTAGGTGGTGGAGACAAATGTCAGTATTTGACAGACACCTATAGCGATAGCTGTGACTTCTAGGTGCTTCCAAACAAGTACACAATCCATGGAATAGAAGTATTGACTAAAAACAAAAGGCATTGAAGCTCTTTGACCTTAACGGGTTTAGGGTCTAGTTGAATACAGATGAGCTGTTACATGAAAATGATGAAATGGCTCTATAACATGGTATAAGTGAGTACTCCACTGGTCAGTGTCTGGTGAACTTGCACACATGGTTGTGGGCTTTGGGAATCATGCTCATTGCGGCATCTGTTGAGGCTCACAGTAGAAGGAGGAGCTGAGTGAACATTTAAGAGTGGTCTAAAGTGTAGGGTTTTGGTTAAGTCAGGAGGCAGAAATGTGGATTCCAGATGGGATATGGGCCTTTTGTAGCTGCTGCCCTTGAATCTTGTGTCCAGAGGGTTTAGACGACAAGGGGTAAAAGGGATGACACTTCTTCCTGACCTTGGGGTGTGGCTTGGCTTCATTCCACTACACATACAGCTGTCAATCTTTTTTATGTTTCAGATTTGCCATATGGATGGGAGCAAGAGACTGATGAGAATGGACAAGTGTTTTTTGTTGAGTAAGTATCTATATAGAAACATGGTCAGGTTAGCTTTTAAGAGAAATTCTCAATTACAATTTCCTTCATTGACTGCAGGAAAATGTAAAGTCATATATACTTGTTTGTCAGCAGGAGTAACTACCTTCACTGCCTTTGTGATTATTTTTTCTTCCAGTGTGCAGTTTTCCACCCTCTTCTGTACACTAAGGTTTTTGGGTTAGGTCAGACCCATCCCTCACATTTGAGTCTGCCACATGGGTTGCGGTGTGGTATTCCCTTTGCATACCCCTGATGTAACAGCTACGGTTGCTATCATTCCTTTAAGGTTAAACAAAATACTAACTTTTCAAAGAATCTGATAGCATGCCATTTTGGGAATTTTATGAGAGTTTTCTCATGCTTTCAATGTATTTGATTGAATGACTACCTACCTACCTACCACGATCTTCCTTCCTTTATTCCTTCCTTCGTTCCCTCTTGCTTATCTGCCTTTCTTTGCTTCTTTGCTTCTTTCTTTCTTTCTTTCTTTTTTTTTTTTTTTAAGCTGCTTGTCTTTGAGGCTTCCTAAAATTTTTTACAAAGGATTAATTGATATGTCTATGACTGTGTAAGGGCATCAGATCCCTCTACTATCATTCTACAAATTCCTTTGAGGCAGGGTCTCTCCCTGAACGTGGATCTTGCTTTATCTTGGCTCATGTGGAAGCCAGTAAGCCTCAGCAGTCCTGCTGTACCTGCAAGTTTTGGAGCTGGGGTCACGGCTCTGTAAACACAGGATTCTTGACTTGTTGTATGAGTGCTGAGTTCCCAGCTCCAGTCTTCACAATTGGGCAACAAGTGCTCTTAATTGCTGTGCCATCTCTGTAACTCCATTTTTCAAATTTTTGTAACTACAGTGACAGTTTGTTTTGGCCTCACTGGTTACTATCCCTGTTGTAATAGTTACAGTAACAGGTTCACCTGAAGTAAATGGTTTGTCAACAAACCTAGTGAACTCCCTCCCCCCATGTCTCCTGCACTGGGAGCAGATAGGCCAGGGTTTGCTTTGGAGAGTCTGAGCAGTCATTGGCAGCTCCAACAGGGCAGTCTCTCTGGCTGGTGGGTGGATATTCTTTGCTACGTATTAGATTATAAAGAATTTACTCTCCCTTGATTTATAAAAATCTTTTCCCTTATCAAAATAGGGATATCATTTCTTTAGTTTTATGTTCCAAATATCCTTTTCCACATTTTTCTTGGAGAGTGTGGCTGTAGAAACTCTTAGGCTCCCTGAAGCCAGACTCATCCTGTGTATGCTCCCGTGTATAAGCGCACGCACACACACACACACACACACACACACACACACACACACACACACACACACACACACACACCTGAAAAAGTGCTTTCCTTTTTATTGGCCTAGAGCAGTGGTTCCAAAGTGGGATTTTCCAATCAGCATCCTTGGCAGCTCTTGGGAACATGTTAGATATACTCAGACCCCCTACTATCTGAAAATCAGTTTGGGGTGTGGTGGTGGTTGTGGCTGGCAGCCTGTGCCCTTAAGGGAATTCTGAAGCATGCTAGTTTGATTGACACACTATAGACAGTGGTCAGCTAAACTTGTCTATAGTGGATGAGATTTCATGTTTTAGGGTATGGCACTACATGGTTTGTGTTTTGAACAAAAAATGATGGCCATTGCTGAGCCCCAATAAAACTACAGAAACAAGCTACCGCCCCATAAGCCAGCTGCTGATCTAATGAAGAATGAGCATGGGCTTTGGAAATAAGCTACAACAAGGCTTTCTGGCTGGTTATTCTCTAGCCTGATGCAGGGGTGTGCTGGGATATGCTCAACAGCGCACTCTTTAGGGAAAAGAAATACAGATTTGTTTCCATGTGCAAATGCTGTCACCATTGCCAGTTGCAGGCTACCAAGGCGGAATCACTGAGAAGCAGAGATGCCAGCACAGCCAGCCTTGAAATTGCAGTCCTCCTGTTAGTTGGGATTACAGGCCTATGCCATGAAGCTCAGACACCTATATTTTAAATCATAGTATTCTATGTATATCAGGAGGGTTCTTAATAGTTTTAAACATGTTTGTGACATTTCAGGGTCTTTATCTCAGATCTTAAGAATACACTTAATTTTTGTATTACATTTCATATACTTAGTGTGTCTGTATGTGCATGCATGCATGCACATCATGGTCCACACATGGCCATCAGGACAACTTGCAGGATGGATTGTTTCCTTTATCACGTAGGTTTCAGGGATTGAGCTCAGTCATCAGGCTGTGAGAGCCAAGGGGCCAAGTGTGTCCTTGTACTTTCCGATAGTTGAGAGGCTTCGTGACTGTTTTCCCAGGCAGGAGTATGGTCCTTCTGGAGACTAGAAGATAGATCAAATGGGTTCTGGATCTCTCCATGTTTGACAGTAAGCCTTTTGGTGCATGAACCGTGGTGTTTGCCTGAAGTATTAGAGTATATTGTATTTGAAGATGCTGGTTCTTGCTATATAGAGTTCAGTGCCCTCCCTCTTCTTTGCAGCCACATAAATAAAAGAACTACCTACTTGGACCCAAGATTGGCATTTACTGTGGATGATAATCCAACAAAGCCAACTACCAGACAGAGATATGACGGTAGCACCACCGCCATGGAGATCCTGCAGGGCCGGGACTTCACAGGAAGAGTGGTCCTGGTAACCGGAGCGAATTCAGGAATAGGTAGGCCCATAGCTTATTGTCTTCTTATTTTATTCATTTTTTTGAGTGCTGCAGTGAATTCCACTTAAGTATATCAGCAATGAAACTTTGGTAGTGAAGCCCCAGTTTAAAGATGGTCTCATTGCTTTCCCAGCTGTCCTTCCTTAAAATCGCGGCCTCTTTCAATCCCAGTGTTACAGTGGGAGGATTTGTGAGGCCTGACCTTGAAGTTGCTCAAAGCTGAGAAGTCAGCAAAAGGCTGTGGCTATTTTGGTATTCAGGGGCTGGAGACAACAGGCTCTGGCTAAGAGTTTTTGACCTGGTCTGTGTGGTGCATGGATGTATTCCAATTACCTGGGTTATTCAAAACAAAATTGATTGGTAATGGGATACTGGACAATAGCAGATTGTGACTTTGGATCCAAGGGTATTGCAGGTTTCCACTGGTCACTGAGCCTATCATTTTCTTTTGGTAACCATATCTTATTTCTTCATGTAAAACTGGAGAATTCGTCCTTGTCTTCACCTCTGCAGCAGCCCTCCTAATTGCCGATGATTAACCACAGTGGCCATGGTGAGGTCAGTGGTTTCCCAGGCTGGTGCAGTGGTAGCAATGAGGCAGGCACTTGCGCCAACTTGAGGGATGGGATTTTATTTTGGTTTGGTCGATTGATATCTGACATTAGCATCCAAATTGCTTTGAGATGGGGCATGTATCTGCAGATTGAAGAACAGAATTGCATCCAGCTGTCCTCTGTCCATCTATCACAGTGCCCCCTGGTGACCTCTCTCATGAGCTTTTCTCTATTCTCCTTTCTGTCTTTCCTGACTTTGGAGTCCTCAGTGTCATTTTCTAGTAAACACACATAGAAGGTGAGGTACCATAGCAGATCAGCCACTCTGCAGTGTGGCAGCCTCTCAGAGCTTGAGATTACCATCTGAGATATGGTCAGTATCTTGACCTTATTCCCTCTAAGGTAAAGAGACAAAGAAGATTTTTCTAAAAAATGGGAAGTAATTTCCTTAAAATTGCCTCCCAAACCTCCTCTGAACTCAGAATACATTGAGTGCAGCCCATTCAGTCTCTGCCTTGGGTGAAGCCTGGAATATTGTCATCCATCAGTGGGGCTGTGGTGCTAGTAACAATGACTGGTCCTGAGGCTCTGAAACGTAGGATGTTGACGATGGGTACAGTTCTGAGTGCCCAGGGTACTGTAGAGTTAAGTTTTATAAAAAGGATTTGAGGAATTAAGAAAAATCCCTTTGCTTATTTACCACTCAGCTTACTAGGAATTTAAGAAAAAGATCCCATTCCCATGGTCTTTTAGTTGGACAGTTGTCTATATATTTGTTCAAAACGTATTTATTTTGTTTAACATGCATCAGTATTCTGACTGCATGCATGTATGCACATCACATTCGGAGTCTTGAAGAGGTTATTGGATAACCTGGATCTGGAGTTGGAGATGGTTGTGATCTGACATGTTGGTGCTGGGACTTACTCTGGCTTCTCTGCATGAGCAGAGCCTTCCTTCCGTCCCCGAGGGTGTGTGACTGGTTCCTGTCAGGCTGCTTGGTCTGATGTTAGCCAGTAGACCTTTGAATACAAATGTTGTCCTCTCAAGGATTGGCGGGACCAGGTGTTTGGCATTGTCATCTTGGACTCATATTGGCTGAGGACAGGATGAGAGTTCTGTTTGGATGATTTCTGATCTAGAGAGGAGACAAGGCAGTTCTGAAGTGTGGGGAAGAGACATGTGGACCCAAAAGGCTCCCAAGGCCCTGGGAGCAAGGGCGGAAGTGCTGTGTCCCCACTGCTCCCACTTCCCTCTGTCACTTCCTTCCTGTGCCCAGTTTACTTTGTGGACCTTGCAGGAGGTGTGCATGGTCTCACCGGTGTGGCTACTCATAGGGTTAGGACAGGATGGTTTGTGGAAAGTTTTGGGAGAGAGCCAGCAGTGTTCCAACCCCTGCTTTCTCCCAGGGACTGATTTTAACACTACCTGTCACTCCTTCTCCATTTGTACTCCACCAAGCATGAGTCTGTGCTAGTGCTGAAGATTTTGACTCCTATTTTTTGGAATAATATGTTGCAGATTTCAGGCAACCAAATCTGTACAAATCCTTCTCCTTCTTCAGCAGGCCTATCGAACTTAAAGAAGCTGGAAGTTGATAGGCACATACCTTTTTGTCATAGCAGATTTGGCTTTTATGTCCTTTGAGGAAGTCTTGGAAAGTGTTCTTGCCCAGGTAGTCTGTGGCTTCAAGATAACAGGCTTCCTTCTCCCCAGTGGTGCAAATGCCAATTTGTACATTGCCATCACTGCTTCGTTTTTGCCTGTTGAATGCGGAGTGGAGTTGGCATTTGCTCCCAAGAGATGTCACCCTCTGTGAAAGCTTTGCCAGGGTTGTCAGCATCCCTCCACAGAAGGGAGATGCTTGTCTGTAGTTGAGTCTTTAGCCTGTGAAGCTGAGTGGATTGAATTTGAGCATGAGCCCCCATGATAAAGGGCCCTTTGTCCACGAGGAGGAGGGAGGACTGTGTTCCCTTGACCAACTGACTGTGCTCTCCTTGCCCCCTTTGATGTGAGCTCTGAGCAGATTGTTCTGTCATTGACTTTCTCACACTGGCCATAAGCAATGCAGAGCTAACTTTTGAATGCCAATACTTGTTATTACTAAGGCAACTGAAGAAATTCTCAGTTTTATGCAGGGTGAAAAGGCCAGCATGGTTCTGCAATGTAGGACATTTCAGAGACTATGCAGAAGTATAATGGGGGCAGGAAAAAATTGTTTTTGAAGACAATGCCTTACCATGTCTGCTTGCCTTGAGCTTGCTATATAGGCCAGCCTGGCCTTCGTCTCCTGATCTTCCTGTATCCCATGTGGGGATTACAGATGTGTCCCACCACACCCAGCTCCCCGTCCTTTGCTTTACAGTTGTTAGCCAGCTTTACCTCTTTTGACTGGATTCAGCTGTCTAGATTGGATGTGGATCAGCTGCAGCTCCTGGGTGTAACCTGACCTACCTGATTTTGTAGGTGTTTTATATTGGAACACAGCCATGCACATTTAGGGTATCACCAGAAGCTGAGTAACTGCAGCAGGGATTATACGGCCCCCAAAGCCTAAAGTATTTACTGTGGGGGTCTGCACTCAAAGCATTTGCTCTTCCAACACTGGGTGGTCTAGCTGAACACAAAGCAGCCTTGCCTCCCATTCTTACCAGCTAAAGTTTTGCTAAAGCTGGGATATTGGGATACCCAGGCTGCAGGAAGAGTGTGCCCAGCACATCATGAGTAGCTGGAAGGGTTGTCTCACCAATATACACCCACCCCACTAGTGTTCTTAGTGAGCTGCAAGATTAGAATGTTGTTTCCTCAGGAACTAACACTCTTCTCCTCTTGACCTTTGTTTAACCAGCTTTCTGAACCTGAAGACTTTTAGATTGAAAGCTGTAGCTTGTGGACATCAGTGGAGATCAGCATCTCAGGCTCCAGGGGGAGCCATCCCTTCATCCAGAGCTGCTGCTAGCAGATCAAGAGCCGGAGCCTGCTAACCAGTAGAGGGAGGAGCCCACTGCCATGTGTGCAGCACAGCTGGGCGGGAGGGGCTGGAGCTTGTGGCTCTTTGGACTTAACCGATGGCTGGCTGGCTCTGATTCTGTTAAAAAAAAAAAAAAAAGAAGGAACGGCTTCAACATGGAGATGACAATATCTAAGTTCTGGGGAGTCTCAGGAAAGTTTTAGGTTAGGGAGTTCTCGACTTTCCTGGGGATTTTCCTCTACTAAATCTGTCTGCGAGCAGATTTGGCTATGTGCATGCGCACAGACTGCTCGCCTTGAACCTGTGGGCTGACTTGCAGTCATTCTGCACTGGCTGGCCCTGAGAGCAGTCACATGTCCCTTGCATGGGGCAGCAGCTTTGTCAGAGCAGCATTTGAGGTCCGTATGATTGATGCTTCAAGTAGATGGATGCATTGCCATTCTGTATAATGGGGGAACAGTCAGGCTTTTGTCAGACTCGGTTAGAAACCTGTTAGCACTATGAGCACATTAGACATTTCCAATCCAGTGTTCAGGGTACTAACGATAGAATGCTCTTCTTCCAGTCTTAAGCCAATAGGGGCTCTGAGCTTAATCAGAGTGAAAATCATCTTTTGCCTTCTGGAACTTTATAATGTCAGTCTGCATCATACGTGTTTCCCCTCTGAAATAGCCTGTCCTGGCTTTGATTTTTGAGCCAGAAGAGCCATTAACACAAACAAAACCAGCTTTTCCCTTAGGAAAAAAAAAACATAATCCAGCGATGCTAGTGTGTGTGTAATATGTGTTTGTGTTTATATATATATTTATATATACACATATAGTATGTATATGTGTGTGTATAAATATGATGTGTATATGTATATAATATGTGTATATATAGTGTATGCATGTTGTGTGTATGTGTATATAATATATGTGTGTGTATAATTTGTGTGTGTATATAATACGTGTGTATGTATTTTAGGACTGATGCTTTAACTTTCTACTGGTATATATGTCATTATAATCACCACACTAGGGCTTATTGTAGAAAATCATACCAAATGCATACCAAATTCACACTTTTGGAGATAAAAGAGGTACATACTCAAGCTGTCAGTCACCCCTCAATTTGTTCTCTTTAAAGCAAAGTAAAAGCATCAGGCTTTCTTGCTGAGAGCCTCACAGTGTTCTTATAGTGTGGCGTGCTTCTGTATTGGTTTAGGGGATCTTGTCCCTAAATCATGTGTTGGTGCTCTGACATGAAGTTAGTGCCATACTTTTACCCTGTAAATCGCCACTGTGATGGATCCCTGCCTGGAGAAAAAATGCTGCCCGTTCTCAGCTGTTTTCCTTCGAGATTATGTAGCAGCATTGTTCTTTTCTAAGGAAGTGCAGGGTATCAAAGTCCAGGCTTTCTTGAGAGTAAAGGCCACATCCTTGTGTTTGGGGTCCTAAAGTTCCCCATTGTTTTCCTTTTCAGTTGAGGAGATA